AGTTGATGGGCAATTGGGCTGTTTCCAAGTTTCAGCTAAACTTAGTACTATCTTAATGAGCCAATAGGCTTTCTATTCAAAGTGCTTTGAAATTATGCAATAAAATAATTTTTAAAAATTATTTATTTCAGAACATAAAGAAATTGAGTCCAGCATATTTTTTACTCTGCTGCATACATTATTTCTTATTACTCATAATTGCCCACTCTCTTGCTTTACTGACTAAAACATAAAATAGTTCTTCCAAGAACTATGTCTATATTTGTTCCATTTGATTTCTCACAAGTTAGGGTAGCAAATAAAATGTTTCTTTATGTAACAAAAATAGGAAAAAAAAGTTTTATTGGTTATTCTATCAATTTTAAGCATATCTACCTAAAAATTTTTAAGGTCAGGAAAGTCTGAGACAAAATCCGTCTTTTTAATCCAACATACAGATGTCTAGGACCTCATCAGTATACAATAAATGCTTTTGAAAAAAATTAGAAATCATTATTTTTGGGTAAAAACAGGTATAACTAAACAGTCACACATCTACATAATTTACACTTTATAGTATCTCTGGTCATAAATGGTAACTGATTTCTTTCCCTTTCCACTTTTTCTCCTGTCTTGTCACTCAATTGAATGTGCTCAGGAACTGCCAGGCCTTTATAAGTCATCTCTTTTTGTAGACTAAGAGACTAATGTTAACAAATAAAAACATGGCATTTAATTCTGTCTATATAACCCAATATTATTAGTTTAGTCTTCTCACAAAATATCACAAAATTGTAATTATTTACCCAAAGTGGATTTGATTTCCTTAAACTAATCAAATCAAATATAGAAAGAATAATGATCTGAAGTGATATTTTCATGCAAATGCAAATAAGAGTTTTGCATTAGAGTGGATATCAAGATAAAATTATTAAAGTTCATTTAATACAATGAACAATTCAAAGCAAATTTCCCATTTTTATTTTAGCTTCAATTTAAGAGGAATATGGTACTTTATTCAAACACATATGAAAAATATTTGAAATGTATGTGGACATCATAGAGGACTGTAATAGCTACTGATACCTTTTTTCCTACCCAGAACACACTTTCTTTCTGCTGTTTTATGAATAGTGTGCCCTTCGTTTTGGAGAAACTGTTTCCCTACTCCATGTGGTCCACTGAAGCTATCCATCATGATGACATCCCCTTCTATCTTGCACCCAAATATTGGTCATAGGGGTGTTCATATTACTCAAATTGGTTCAAAATATTGACATAGGAATGGTTTATAGCTGGGCATCCCCAAAAGCCTCATGAGCTCAAAAGGTCAGGCTTTTGAAAGGTGAATGAATTATGGGAGTGGTATAACTGGTTTGCTGTTAGGAAGTGGGGTCTGCTTGGAAGAGGTAAGTCACTGTGAGTATAAAGGGAATGTCCCCTTTCTTGGCTCCTCTCTTGACCTTTCCACCATGGCATGAGCAGCTTTGCTCTGCCATGCCATCCTGCCTTAGAACCAGCCAATCAAGAACTGAGACCTCTACAAATTGTGAGTGAAAATAAATTATATTTCTTTAAATTGTAAGTGTCAGGTATTGAATCTCAGAGATAAGTGACTAAGACAGATTTTGGTACTGGGAGTCTTTGCTGGGGATGTAGCTGACCATGTAGTTCAGAGGCCTTTGGAACTGGTTCTCAGGAAGAATTTAGAAGGGTTTGGAGATGTTGGATAGAGAAGCAACCCTAGAATGCTGTAAGCTGAGCTTGATGGGAATTCTGGTTGGAGCTCAGAAGACTAGCATGTCAATAGAAATTCAGAAGATAAGGGTTGGGGATTTAGCTGCCACCTGCCTCATAAGTGCAAGGTCCCAAGTTCGATTCCCGGTACCAGGAAAAAAAAAAAGAAATACAGAAGATAAAGACCAAGCCTCAGGAGATTTCATTTGGGAACAGGATTCAATAGGCAGTTGAACTCTAGGCCATGTGTATTATGCTCTGGCAGAAAATTTGTCTACATTTTGCTCATGTCCTGAAACTTTGTGAGAGACTGTGACAAAGGACAGCAGACAAATTAACCTAGTAGAGGAAACACCAAGGCAGACATATGTTGAGGCTATGCCATGGCTACTGTTGGGGTTGGGGGTTTTCTAGCCAGCTCAACATTGAGAATCAAGAGCAAACAGCAAAGCTGAATGATTTTTTAAAGTTTTCAGTTTGACCAGAAAGAAAGTTCTGGTAAAGTTAGGGACTGCAAAGTGAAGCTGAAAATACACGGGAGAAGCCAAAAATTTGGAGAAGCCAGAAACATGAAAAAGTCTCAGAGAAAAAAGTCTCAGAGAAGACTGTAGGATTTGGCTTTTCAACACAGCTGAAACTTAAGAATCTGGCAACTCCTAGAGATGGACTAAATGTATTTTGCATAAAGAGATGTGTGTGAGTCTTTTGGGAGGGAGGGATATTATGTTTTATATCTGGATATCTCCCCCAAAGCCTTGTGAGCTCAAAGATGACTGGATTACAGGAATGGTATAGCTGACTTGCTGTTAGCAGGAGGGGTCTGGTTGGAAGAGGCAGGTCATGGTGGGCATGATGTAAAAGGGTGTATCTTCCTTCTTCGTTTCTCCCTTGACCTTTCTGCTTTTTATCTGCCATGTCGTGGGCAGTTTTTAATGTACAGCCAGGGAGAGGCTGGGCTGTAAAAGAAATTACCAAAATAAGTAAAGACATCAGAATTGTTGCTGGCTGGAGGTGCACATGTGGAAGGCCAGGCCTCAAGGTAAAGATGGAAATGACCTTCCAAAGGGATAGGCAGTAATTTGGAAATATACTATAATTGGTATCACCTGGTCCAGTAAAGTATACATAGATATCAGTCACTCAGGTGGATGACCAGAATCTCTGGACCTGTACCTTCCCCAGAATGCCTTTGTTCTTTCCATGTGACCCGCTTCCCTGCTGAACCAATATTAGCTCAAAAACTATACCTGTGATCTTATACATGGATTATAGTTTGACCCATATTGTACCCACATTGTGACTTTGCTGTATAAATTACTCCTGACTAAGGACTTTGGTGGCAGCCTACTTCCTGAGCCCCTCCTGTCTCTCAGGAGCTATTCTTGTTCATCAATAAACCTTTCCTACTCTTAATCTCCACCATCCTCTGGAATTCATTCTTCTATTTCAGGAGATACAAACTAGGCATATCTGACATCTAGCAGGTTGGAAGTTATATTTTCCCCTATATCAAAATTGCTTAAACTAAGGTCTTATCAGAATGTTTGCTAGGTACCCTCTTCCATGAAAATGATTTGCCTGTAGAGAAAATTAGTTTACAAAGCCTTCTATTCCAGTATGACACAATTGTACACCCTTTCTTGGATACTTCTCAACCAAAACAACCATAGACATTATAGAGAAAAATAATTTTAGCTCCAAATGTCAGATGAAGCTTGCATTTCCAGCACTATGCATAATGTTACTTTTGGATATTTTGGCATATTTTCTCTTTAGACAACATCTAATCCAATTTACTTAAATGTTTGGCATGTGATCTTTCCGTCCTGTGTAATCCAAGAACTAAAGTTAATAGAAATCTTTCTAATTTCCTGTTAATCTTTCAGCACAACTCATTCCACTTATTCAAGCTAACCTTAAAAAGAACAGCAATTGGAACTGCCTTCTATTACAAATAAAAAGTGAAATTTAACAAATAAACATTACAGTAGAAACAACAATTCTATTTCCTTAGGTAGTCAACTACTAATTTCTTGAAGGGGAAATCTAGGATTATAACCCATAAAAATAGAGTTTTGGAAAGCTAGTCAGTCATGTAAAGAATTCTGAATCAAATATTTTATAGAAAAAAAATCCCAGGGAATAGCCCAGTATAACTATGAAAATGGGAAATTCCTAAGCACAATAAGAATCCATTGAAACTGTGTTTATTGAATCCTGTATGAAATTATTTACTGTTTTTACATTACAACTTTTCTTTAAAAACTTAATGTAGGAATACACATAAAATAACTGGACACATATAAAACAACTGAATCTTTGTTCCTTTCTGCATTTGTATATGGTTTGTGCACTAGGCATACTGATACTTGATTGTATCAAATCATGAGTTTTCTCTACAAAGTTCCTACAAGCTACTAAGAAAAAACAATCAATAAATCTCAGTCTGTGTTTCTGAAAAATACAACCTCTGAAGGAAAAGTTGAAATGCCAGAACCAAATGTTAGAAGAAAGTGAGGTTTTATTTTGCCTTTTATAAATACCTGAAGATGAAGGGGAAAGCTTTTGCTTAGAGAATATATATTATTCACTTGCATTTTAGGACAGTGTTTACCAAAATATCATAAATACTTAATAGCAACTGTTCCTAGTGCTTCCAGCAAAAAGCAGTAAAATGAAACATAAACCTCAGCGGTGAAAGCCCAAGAGCTTTGCTCTACATTTCATCACTCCCCTTCCGGTTGCTGCAGAGGCCAGCCTAGATTCTAATGATCTCCAGAGAAGGCTCCACTGAATCCCAAACAGAAATATTATGTGCTCCAGGAAAACTATTAATCATTTAAATGGAAAGAACAACAGTCAGATACTCAGCCACTGCTTCAAGGGGCCTGACTGATAGCTAAGAAACATCAGAGCTGGAAGGGGAAGTAATCACACATTCCAATCCAAATTTCTATTTTACATTTCCCCTATAAAGCCTATAAAAACTCTCAGGTTATCCAGACAGTTAACTTCATGTTCAAGGAGTGGAAATGTCTCAGACTGTTTATGAAAACCTTAAACTTGAAATCACGAGCTCAAGCTCACAGAGCCCAACCTGGAAGAATCGGTACCAAACCTCATTCACAAACCAAATCCAGATCTTTAGAAAGATGTTTGCTACAGCAAACAAACCTCCTTCTCACTCAGTTTCATTTAGATAAAGGCACCCTGTAGCAAGACTTCTTTTAGGTTAAAATACATGTAAAATTACCAGCTTTTCCTGTCCCCAGAGATATACTCACAGAATTGATTATTCCTCTAAGAGCCTGAAAACCACCCTTGACAGGAAAAACTTGTTCCTTGGAATCAGCAATTTTTTCAAGCTTCAGGAAAAGGAAGAAAGCTTAATTAAGTGTGGTTGAGACACAGTACTTTGTAAACTTATGTTTAAACTTACACATAAAACTATTATGTTTTAGTTATGTCTATCTAAAAAATTACTCCTCAGGCCTAATTCCCCAGGATGGACTGCGTCAGGTTCAGGAGCTAACGGATATGATTTTATCAGCATTATCTTAAATGTGTGTTCATGAAATAATTAAGGTCAGTCATGACCCCTGTACATCAGCATCTAGCTGCAACTTCCAAAGAGCAAAGAGCCCTAAAAGCTATTAATGAGACTCGGGAGTCTAAACCATATCCAAGAAAGTTTTTAAATGCAAAATGATTTTGTGAGGGAAAAAGAAATTAAACTCTTAAACCTCAATGAAAAAAATAATTATATCTGTAAGAAAAACTATTAAAGGTTTGCAAATGAACCTCACAATCCCTGTACACCTAAGTAAGGACAGTCATAATAATTTTACCAACCAAGTTAAAGGACTATTCATATCATTTTAATGTAAATGTTTATCATATTAATTCAGCAAACTAAATAAATGTTCAAGAAATTTAAGAGTTTTGTGTTAGCAAAATTCTGACATTATTAAGGGAGTGCTCAAGAAATAAACCATTTCTATAGTAAATCTTTATAAGAAGACATTAGTAAAAAGAATCTGTTAGACAATCCTAAGGCAATCATGTGATTTAAAGTTTGAAGATCTGTTGTAACTCACCTGAGCTTGTTCAAAATCAAGGACACCAACACAGTAAACATTAGCCCCAAGTGACCTGGATAACTTTGCCTACAGAGAAATAAAGAAGGGTACAAAGAAAGAAAAGGGGGAATGGAGAGGGAGGGGGAGGGGAAAAGAGAGG